AAACTTTTCCTGATTTGCGCTGTTTCAAAACAGAAATCCTTGTTTATATAAATATTTTTCCTTTTTAGATTGCTAGACTTGCTCAATATTGCGACTTTATCTTTAAAATTTAAAAGTTTTACCATTATTGTTCTCAGCTTTTTGATTTTTTTTTCCAGTTCTATGGGCCCGTTCAATTTGGACATTTTTAACAGATAGTATTTCTTCAAAAACTTTTTTTACCTTAAGTTCGCTTTCCTCCCAGCTTTCACCTTCATTTTCATTAATTCCATCTACTCTTAAATTATTACGTCTCGATCGATTTTCCATCTCTTTTAATTTTTTTTGTATGCATGTAATTTCTGAATTGTCTTCTTTACTGAAGACATTTGCTTTCTTTACTTTTGCATCGATTAGTTATTCTTATATAGATATTCTTATATATTCTTTATAGATCTTCACATTCTACTAATAACTTGTTAACTGCTGCAACAAAAAGGTTCTATTGTTCAATAGATGGAGGTGGCGAGGCTAGAGCTTTAGGTTATGACATCAAAATCTTTTGAAAAAATTTGACATGTCTTCTGCATAAGCATGCTTCATATGGTGTATCTCTTGTTATGAGATTTTATTGCATAACAAAAACACGTAAGGCTAATAAATGTAACTTTAACACAGCCTTTATATTTACACCATTAATAATAAAATTACGTCATTAGCATATTTCAAAGTACAGCGTTGTAACTAATTTTAATTTTAAACCGTGTTGAAAATCATTTAAACTAATATGACAAAAAGTACTAATGAAATCTAAATTCAGTAATTGAAAAAGATTAAATTTCCTTATAATTTATTCTAAATTATAATTTATTTCTTAAGTCTAATTCATATTCTTTATTCAAATTAAAATTTTTTTTTTATTATTTTTTTTTAACTATTTAATGAAATATTTTTATTTAAAAATAAATAAACTTTAAAAACAATTGAGAGATTTTAGTTACCGATGAGATATTTGGAAACAAAATTTATGTTCATAAATAAATTATATCAAAAGAACTTTACAGAGTATTGAATTAATAAGAAACAAAAAATTTTAAATACATTTGTGAAAATAAATCTTATAAACAAAAATGCTTCAGTGTTTTTTAAAAGAAAAAAAAATTTTATATTTGTTTTCACATCTTTTAATCTACAATGAAAGATTTATGTTTTACATAATGAATTAATTAGCAAGAATAAAATTTCTTAAAATTTTCTCTTTAATAAATATTGCAAAACTATTTTACAACCTTTTTACTGAATATGTTCTTTCATGCTCTAAAAGCTTTTTTAATGCATTGAAACTCTCTCCCTTTTTCATGTTTTCCTGACTCATACAACCTTTACCTTTTTAAGTCTTCTGTCAACCGTTTCTTTGTTTTTTAACACTATTCTTTTTTAGTAATTCCCATTACAATAGTGTATACGTGTAGTCTTGTTAAGAGAAATTAGTAAAATTCATCAAACATATGTAGTTGATAAAATTGTGGAACATATTAGTAAAGCATCAATTTTTAAATAACTTTTAAAGCCACGTTATTGATATATCTGTTCTTGATTTTTTATAACTATGGAGACAAATGGCCAGTGCAGTATAAACTAAATTTGCTCAAAAACAATATTTAGTTTTTATATCTTTTATTTTATTTATAAATCAGTCAAAATAAATAAAAAAGTGATATGTTTTCAATAATTGAGCTGAAAGTTCAATAAAATAAAATAGCTAAAAGTTGGTACAGACCTTAAGGACATTATTACATATAAAATATTAAAAGTCCCCACTGATCCCACATCTGCAAAAAATGTTATTCAAGTTTCTCCTATTTTTTGTCAAACAGTATGTTTTATCATAAAAATACATTGAACAAAAGTTGTAGATCATGAAACTATCAACAAAAATTCCTGAGATATTGTGATTCATCTAAAACAATAATATGTACGCATATACACATCAGATATAATAAAAAATATTGTATTTATAATTCTATTTATGATTGGTTTGTGTAAATTTTATAAACAAATTATGTGGTTGTGAGAATATTCACAAAAGAACAACGCATGCATTAGGTGTGGTCAACTTTTGTTTATAATCGAAAATAAGTAGCAAATGTTCTTGAACATTCCTTTGCAATCATACTCATGGTTATTGAATGTTTCTTTTTACAATTTGTACTGTTCAATACTTTTTCAAAAGTGATGCTACCATATTTGATTTTTAGCAAAGATTTTAATAGCAAGTGGAGCAGTTGCTGTTAATCATGGAATGGAATTTTAATTGAAGTGGATGTTAAATGAAACGACAGGTTCCATGAATACCTGAAAGATGAGAAGTGGTAATTCATAAGCAGTGTCATAAAATAAATACTCGGAAGACTACTATGGCATTTCAAAGACAGCAAGAAATGGATAAAACAGTACATTCAAAATTGCCTTGTATCAGAGTGTACGTAAGTGAACGTAACTTTTGTTTTAAAATTATTTTTTATTTTCTGGCAATGAAGCAAATGAAAAGGCTGAAAAGAAGAAAGCGCAGTGTGCAGAAAGTGTCATAAACAAGAAAAGAAGAAAGAACATAGTGTGTGTCATTTATAGGCTTGGTACTCTTGAATTCAAAGAATTGATTTTAAAGGTAGCTCAAAGTTGTTCTGGCAAAGCAAAACATGTTACTGCATACATTGACCATGAATATGATTAAGTTGCTGTTCAGGCTAAGTACTATAATAATTTTTTTTTGAGACCAACCACTGGGGGTAAAATTGGACACCCACCAATGAATCTACAAATGTTGCAACAGAAGAAATAATTACATACATTAAAAATAGTGATGATTGTCAGTTTTTATTAGAAGAGCAAAAATTCAGATTTAGATAACAAAACAATAAAGATACAAGTGTTATCTTTTGACTTATCTGTGCAAACATTCATTCAAACATTAGTATAATGGTGTAAAGTATCCACTCTAGCATTGACCTAAAAAAAATCATCTTAACTCAAGCTAATATCTCATATCAGCCAAAGTTCAACTTAACAGGAATTTGCTTTAGTTGAACATTCATTAAGTCGAACCATTTTCCTTGGTCCCTTGGAGGTTCGAGTTATTGGGAATTAACTGTATTTATATATTTTTTAAAAATTATATAAAATCAGGGGTGAGGAGTCCCAAAAAGGACTCCTCATTTCTGATTTGAAAAATCACAAAAAGATTATTTTTT